TTGAGATGCAAATCATCCCATAACAGCACTATACCCATCAGTATTTAATATTGTAGGCCATGGCTGACGAGGGTTAACAGAACACATGGTTAGAAGTAAAGATGTAACTCTAGGGCTGAGCGCTTGCCTTGCATGCCTGAGGCCCTGGGTTCGATTCCTCAGCACCACACAAGCAAAAAGAAAAAAGCCGGAAGTGGCTCTGTGGCTCAAGTGGTAGAGCGCTAGCCTTGAGCTGAAGAGTTAGGGGACAGTGCCCAGGCCCAGAGTTCAGGCCCCATGACCGGACCCAAAAAAAAAAAAAAGATGTAACTCTAGGAGCCAGATTCGTATGCTGCTACTGATTATGTCCTAGCATATTACATCTATGGAAAATATTTTATCTATGGACCACCTTGGCTCAGAATGAGTTGCTCTGCATTTAAGCAACCACACCTGGCTGAACAAAAAATAATTATGAAATCAGATTCTAATTATTATTGCTTCCTAGTGCTAGAGCGATTGATTTGGGAACCTGGCAATGTGGCTTGCCATTTTCTGAGGTCTCAAAATGTCTCACACCCAGAAATTAGGCCACCCGTCTCACTATGGTCATTTTTATGTCACTTTGGCTAGGTTAGCTGAGCCATAGTCTTTTTTTTTCCTCTAGATGATTGCACTGATGGGGGAGGGGTGAGGGGGCGGGAGGTTGGCAGGGCCTTGCTACGTAGCCCAGGCTGGCCTGGAACTTGTGATCCTTCTGCCTCTGCCTTCCCATTGCCAGGATTACAGGTATGTGCCACCACACTGACCTATGATGGTTAATCCTGGCAGTTAGACTGACTGGACAGAGACGCACCCAGGGTGTAGAGGGGTTGCCAGGGGCGATTATCTTATGGAGAGAGCACCTGCCCTGAATGTGGGAAGCTCAATCACACAGGCTTGGGGGCCTGGATGGAACTGGAGGAGGAAAAAGTCAGCTGGCACCAGCATCCATTTATTATTCTCCCTGCATTCGTTAATATTCTCTCTCTCTCTCTCCTAGCTGCCATGTGAACTGCTCTACGGCTCCATGTCCTCCCCTGATGGACTGAAACTTCTGGAACTATGAACCAGAACAAAGAAATTCCTCCTTTAAGCTGTTCTCTGGGTTATTTTGGACACAACTATAAAAAGCTAATGAACATAGCTGCAGTTCCCAGTTATTCACAAATTCTCAGGGAGGGGATTCTCTGAAGGTATTTTGGCTTTTATTGAGGGAGATTATCCTAGAAATTATGGGTGGGCCTGACTCAATCAGTCCAAAGGCCTTAACAAGAGTTAAGAGCGGGGCTGGGAAGGTGGCTCAGTGGTAGAGCACTTGCCTTGCATGCATGAGGCCCTGGGTTTGATTCCTCAGCACCACATAAGCAAAAAGAAAAAAGCAGGAAGTGGCGCTGTGGCTCAAGTGGTAGAGTGTTAGCCTTGAGCTGAAGAGCTGAGGGACGGCGCCCAGACCCAGAGTTCAGGCGCCATGACTGGACCAAAAAAAAAAAAAAAAAGAGTTAAGAGCTGAGCTTCCAAATGTTCTGTGGATTCTGACCTGCTTTCTTACTCCTCACAGGTGTTACAAAGCAATCATCACTTGCAATAAATCTCCAGGGATCCCATATGCCATTTAATGGTAAGTAAATCTTGGCATTTTCTGAAGCATAAATTCTTCTGGGGGGGCCCACAAAGGCTGCCACCTATTATAGATACTAAAAAGCCAAAACGGAATGCAGTTTGAACCCTTCCCATGTCCCGCCACAGTCCTTGGCTCTCAGCGTTCCATGATTTCAAAGGATAGTTTAGTAATACTTTCAAGTAGCAGTAGACAAGTCTCTCCCATCAGTGTTTTCTGTTTACTACTCAGAGAAACCAAATCCCTTAAGCCCAAATCTCCTTTAGGGCAATGAGGTCTGCATTGTTTGCTGGAGTGTGAGTGGTAATCTCAGTACTAACAAGGGCCACGAGATGGCACAGTGAGATGCTAGGAGCTATCACCTCTCCAGGGAGAGCTCTCTGAGGGAGTGACACTGAGACCTGCATGACAGTGAGAAGTCTTCCAGGGTCTCCCCAGGAGAGAAGTGTGTGGTAGGAGGTCCAGGGTCTTCTTAGGAGAGAAGTGTAAGGTAGTTCTAGTACAGCAAAGGTGCCTTCGGAGTTCATGAGAAAAAAGAATCCCCCAAAGATTCAAGATTGTGCAGCTATGGGACCCACACATTAGAACCATGGGCTTCTGTGGCTGCAGGCCATGGTAGGTTAGGCAAAAGTGATCCTGGCATGGGTAAGTTGTAGAGGTGACACTGGCTGACACTGGCTTTAAGAGTGGGTTGGAAGTCGGGCACCAGTGGCTCACGCCTGTAATCCTTGTTACTCAGGAGGCGGAGATCTAAGGATCATGATTTGAAGCTAGCCCAGCCCAGGGAAGAAAAGTCCACAAGACTCTGATCTCCAATAAACTATTCAAAGCCAGAAGTGGCACTATGGCTCAAGTGGTAGAGCACTTCCCTTGAGCAAAAGCAGCTCAGGGATAGTACCCAGGCCCTGAATTCAAGCCTCATGACCAACAACAACCAACAACAACAACAAAAATAAAGCCACACAGTCTTATTAAAGAAGAGTCAAACTGCTGCAAAACCTAGGTGGAAACAGACCTTGTCAGTCTTAACTGGTCTAGCAGTGCAGCAGATTGCCAGCTGTCTGGAAATATCCCCAGATCCTTTCTTCACAGAAATGGAACTCCATTGTACTTTGGGGCATATGACCACCTCAATGAAAATATGGAGCTGTTGTTGCCTGGTGGTTAGGCTCTGGCTGACAGGAAGAAGGTGAAGCAGTGTGTACAACTTACGGAAAGGAAGTGTGAGTTTCCCCCTTCCCTGTTTTTCCTGTTGGATAGATCATGGGCCACGTGGCTAGCCCCCTTGTACATGATGTAAGGATGCTAGAACAAGACAGAAGGAACATGGCCCTATTTGTATGACAGAACTAGTATGACACGAACTAGGACTATCCCATCAAAGAAAAGTTTTGTTAATCCACTGTTTGGATTTCTTTTTGGGTGGCAGTGAGCTTGAACTCAAGCCCTGTGTGTGCTCATCTCCACAACAGCACGTGAGCAAATCCAAGGTCCATAGACAGGTTGATAATGAAGTGTGTGCGCAAAGGGGAATGATGTAATCTTAACAAGGAGAAATGCTGGCACAGGAAGAGTGCTGTATGATTTCACCTAAATGAAGCTCATAATCAAATTTCAAGATGAAAAGTAGAAAGGTGATTGCCAGGTAGCTATACAAGGAGGTAATGAGAAGTTGTTTACTGAATAGTTTTCTGAGATGGAGAGCTAAGGAAATGGGATGGCGGTGAGGGCTGTGTAACTGCGTGCATGCACTCATGCCACTGAAACTACACATTCAAAAATAAGTCAATTGATTGCTTTTATCTATGATGCCCTGGTGCGACAATACTGCCATGGTGGCATGGTGCTGTAAAAGTTATTTTTCTGATCCTGGCTTTTTAATAGGTGTACATTACAGGAGTGCTTTTAAGGGCTATTTCAAGGCACCTCCCACGGTGTGGACTCTGCTGTGTCAAGGAAGATTACTATCCACAATATGGCCCACTAGACCAAGACATTTTCAGAAGGATGCATCTCATCATGCAGAGTGTGGGCTGACAGGGAGCCTGAGGGTCTCCTGACCTTTATTTATTTGTCCATTGTGGGGCTTGAACTCTGGGCCTGGGCGCTGTCCCTCAGCTCTTCAGCTCAAGGCTAGCGCTCTACCACTCGAGCCACAGCACCACTTCCAGCTGAGGAATCAAACTCAGGGCCTCATGCATGTGAGGCAAGCATTCTGCCACTGAGCCACCTTCCCAGCCCCTCCTAATCTTCCTTTATGTTATGAGAAGCAGAAAGGTTTTCATGCTGCACTCACGAGGGTTTTTAGAATCAAAACATATCTGATCCCTGACCATCTTTTTACAAAAAAAAAAAAAATAGAGATGTCATTCTCAGAAAGCCTGCCATCTTCTCTAACAATCCTGTATTCCAAAGGGTAACCTTCACAACAGGTGCAAGTCGATAACCTGTGGATGATCTGCCTGTCAGACCCACTTTCTGTAGTATAGACAGTAGCGATCAAGGAGTCTCGAGTAAGAATCCAGCGTTTCTTGAATGGATCTGACCGGGCTGGGCCGCTTCTGGCGGCCGCCACGGCTCTTTCCCTCGAGTTCTGTCCGGAGGGGCGCAGGTCTCCGACTTAAGTCGACCCCACTGGCCCGGGAGCACCGCAGGCCACGGCGTCGGCAGCGCATCCCGCAGGGCCGGGAGCAGCCACGCCGGCCAAGGCTCGCCCCGGGCAGGCGGCGTCCTCGAGGGCCTTGGGGGCGGTGGGGCCGGGACCCCACGGGGTCGCGCATCGCTCGGTGCGCGTGCGCGGCCAGCGGCACCTACCTCGCGGGGCTGGCGAGGCCGAGGCCGGGCCTGCGCCGCCTGAGGGCGGCCCTGCACGCACGCACGCACAGCGCCCGCACTCTGCAGGGTCGGCGGGGGAAGGGGCAGGGTCCCGCGGTCCCCGCGAAGAGACCTCAGGGGCTGCAGGACGACGACAAGGCCCCGCCCTTCACTGGTAGCCTGAACTTCCGGGACGCTGCCGACGCCGGGTCGCGCGTCGCTCAGGCCCCGGGGACCCGGCCCCGCAGCTCGCAGCTGGGAGGTCGCGCAGGCGCACTGACATCCAGACCGCGGCGGAAGGAAGCTGGTTGGATGGATCGAACCACTGTGCGAAAGAAAGGGGGAGCCGTGCACGGAGTGAGGGGAGAGGATGAAAAGAGGAGAAACAGCTCCAAATAGCACCCTAGCCTGGAATGAAAACTGTGAAGTTACCACCGAAGAGTGACATGGAGCAGGCTGTGCTGATGTGCACTCCGTGGCGAGGTTCCTTGCGGCCTTCCTCCCCCTTGACTAGTATGGTTTGGTCGGAAGGGCAGGCGCTGGAACTTGCGCAGGCGCAGGGTGGGGAGCAGCATGGCGTCCAGGGCCAAACGGCGAGCGGTGGGGAGTGGGGTTCCGCTGCCGCCGGGGGACCAGGCCCAGCGTGACGAGGAGTCGGAGGATGACACCGAGGACGATGAGGACAGCGACGAAGAAGAGGACGAAGACGACGACGGGATCGTGGGCGAGGTGAGACGCACGTCCCAGGCTGCGTGGAAGCCGCGGAGGTGCGCGGGGCGGCGACTTCCCGGCTGGGGCTGGGGCTGGAGCTGGGGCCGGAGCCTGGAGCAGGCCGACTGCGGGTCCCACGTCGGTCCGCAGCCGCGCGGGATAGCGGCGGGACCCCTCCCGCGCCGGGCTCCCCACCGCAGGAAGCCCCCGCCACCCCGCACTTCACCTCGCTCCTCCGCGGCTCCCTTCAGTTCTGGCCTGAGCGCTCCAAATTCTGTATGGGACGGTGGGGGACGCGCGGGGCGCCCGGCGCCCGGG